TTTGATTAACTAGAGAGAGGTGACCAAGTGAATCTGAAGAACCTTATCTTTAAAGTCCCTGAAAAGCCATCTACCAGGAGACAAGCATTTCAGCCTGAACTTTTCTAAACACAACTGTTTTAAGCAGATGAGCCCCGAAGTTCTTCCACACTGAGATCTCCAGTCCTACACGTCCTTAATGCTCTGGGTGCAGGGTGTAGTGATGGATGCTGTGGAGACACCGCCTGTAAAATTTAAGTTGGAGGTAGTCGTGGGCTGAACAAAGAGGAATACGATTAATTCAATGAGATGCAAAGAAGTTACTCCAACAAGCTGCTTAGAGTGGCCTTGAAAGCTCAATAAGTGTTTTGTACCTCTTGTAAATGTGCCATTGTATGAAGAATTCAACCCAACATCTGGGAGACAGGAGCCATCCAGTATAAAAGAATGTAAAATCTTTCCCAACAGTAGAATGCCACTTTTGGCCAGACAATTTAATGGGTCCTATTACATGTTAAATTATGGCTTCTGGAACATTACAATATATTCTTGGTACAAATGAATATGTTCTTTGCATTACATGAGCCAAATAAAAATCCAAAGAAAAATTTTAACTTGGAGGTGATGTCTGCTTGAGATTCTCTCTCTCCCTCTCCCTCTGCCCTCCCTGGCCCATGTGCACACGCTCTCTGTCTCAAAAACAAACAAACAAACAAATTAAAAAGTAACTTCCATTTGGGTTTAGAAAGTGAAATATATGCTTGTATATGATTAGAAAATTTCTTGAAGAGGGGCACCTGGGTGGCTCACCCGGTTAAGTATCCAACTTTGGCTCAGGTCATGATCTCATGATTTGTGGGTTCAAGCCCAGCGCTGGGCTCTGTGCCGACAGTAGTGAAGCCTGCGTCGGATTCTCTGTCTCCTTCTCTCTGTCTGCCTCTTCCCCACTTGTGTGTGCTCTCTCTGAAAAATAAAATAAACATTTTTTAAAAAAAGAAAATTTCTTCAAGAATGTACATAAGAAAGCTTTAGGAATATTTGCTTCTGGAGAGAAGGAGATTTTATTTTTCATTTTATGCCTGGCTTGACTGCACATGTTTCTGTTTTATTTAAGATAAATAAAAAAATTTGATTTGCTCTCCAGTTTTTTCACATTTACTATATATATATATATATATTTAATTTTTGTTTATTATTTTTAATTTACATCTAAGCATACAGTGCAACAATGATTTCAGGAGTAGATTCCTTAATGCCCCTTACCCTTTAGCCCATCCCCCCGTAACCCTTTCTTTGTTCTCCATATTTAAGAGTCTCTTATGTTTTGTTCCTCTCCCTGTTTTTGTATTATTTTTGCTTCCCTTCCCTTATGTTCACCTGTTCTGCATCTTAAAGTCCTCATATGAGTGAAATCCTTTATTTGTATTTCTCTAATTTCACTTAGCATAATACCCTCTAGTTCCATCCATGTAGTTGCAAATGGCAAGATTTCCTTCTTTTTGATTGCCAAGTAATACTCCATTGTGTACATATACCACATCTTCGTTATCCATCCATCCATCGATGGACATTTGGGCTCTTTCCATACTTTGGCTATTGTTGATAGTGCTGCTATAAACGTTGGGGTGCATGTATCCCTTTGAAACAGCACTCCTGTATCCCGTGGATAAATGCCTAGTAGTGCAATTGCTGGGTCATAGGGTAGTTCTATTTTTAGTTTTTTGAGGAACCTCCATACTGTTTTCCAGAGTGGCTGCACCAGCTTGCATTGCCACCAACAATGCAAAAGAGATCCTCTTTCTCTGCATCCTCGCCAACATCTGTTTGCCTGAGTTGTAAATGTTAGCCATTCTGACAGGTGTGAGGTAGTATCTCATTGTGGTTTTGATTTGTATTTCCCTGATGATGAGTGATGCTGAGCATTTTTTCATGTGTCGGTTGGCCAGAAATAGATGTATAATTAAGCAGAATATTACATGTTCAGTCACAAAACCAGCCTCACCCAGAAAGACCCCATTTATAACAAAAATCTCATGTCTGTTTCAGTCTCCACTTCCTTCTACGGAGCCTTCTGCTCTTTCTGGAGACTTGACCCATCCCACCATAGAGATAAAATCCTAGCTCTGGCAGTCAGCATTTTTTTTCCTCTTCTAATGGCTGTGAATCTTTCTGCACTAACAGCAAGGTTGGAAATAGGTGAGCCTGTTTGATATTAATAGCTTAAGGCAGGCCAGGCCTGGCTGGTACTGTGATAATATTCAGTGGCTATATTCCTTCAACAGATCCCACATCACTGGACCCAGCAACAGACCATTATTCCTCTCAACTGTTGTAGCCCAGGGGGGTAGTTGACAAGATCTAGATTTATTTCATGTCATCCTAGCAGATACATGCTGTGTGGATCATGACTCTACTGTTTGGGCAGAATCTGTCCCAGAAGGGACAGCTTTCCCCATCTGGTAGAAGGATGGTGTTCCTGCTTCCCTTCAGGGGGAGAGATGTTAACACACGTACACAAGGAAAGCCAAGGCAGAGAGAGGTGTTCTATGTAGAGGATAACTACTCCCCCTGAATTAGAATGATATTTGGGCCAATTCACTCGCTCTGCTAGAGGGAGCAAGTGGCCGGTAGTTTATGGTGCTTGGGTGGAGAGTGGGCAGTTCTGATCTGATGTTATCTTCAAATTTAAATAAGAGGAATGTAGCTCCTCAACCGTTAAAGCCTTTGGCTGCTGTGTCCCATGGACCTCCTAGGAATTTGTGTGGGCCTTGCAGGAGTTAGGATCAGCAAAGCCTAAATATATGTTAGAGAAACTGGTATTTAGCTGCCCAGGTTTTTGTTTGTTTTGAGAGACAGAGAGAGAGAGCAAGCCAGGGAGGGGCAGAGAGAGAGAGAGGGAGACAGAGCAGGCATTGCACTGTCAGTGCAGAGCCCGATGCAGGGCTTGATCTCAAGAACCCTGAGATCATAACCTGAGCCAAAATCAAGAATCAGATAATGGGGAGCCTGAGTGGCTCAGTCGTTAAGAGTCTGACTCTTGGTTTCTGCTCAGACCATGATCTCACAGTTTGTGAGTCTGAGCCCCATGTCCGGCTCTGTGCTGACAGTGTGGAGCCTCCTTGGGATTCTCTCTCTCTCTCTCTCTCTCTCTCTCTCTCTCTCTCTCTCTCAGAATAAATAAACTTTAAAGAGTCAGATGTTTAACTGACTGAGCCACCCAGGCATCTCTAGCTGTCCAGTTTTTATACACTGTGGTACTGTCTAATGTATTAGAGAGGTTTCCTGATTTCTGGGAAACCACACTTGTCCAATTTCTTAAATCTCTCACTAAGCCCCTTCCAATACCATCCACTTGTGTAACATTTTATGATTTTCCAAGTATTTTCATGTACTTGCTTTCATCAAGTCTCACCCCACCCTGTGGGATAAGACAGGCAGGCAGTTCTCTTCATTCGTCAGATGAAGTGTGTGAGGCTTCGAGTCAGTGACTGGGGTAAGATCACCAGCAGTTAAGTATGGGGATGTGAACCTGGTGTTCCCACTGGAGGGGTCATGTGCTTTCCTTTTAGTTCTCATCTCTGAACCCTGAAGAATGACAGGAGACATTCTCCCACAAGTACACCTAAGCAGAGGCTATGGCCTCTGTCCATGATGAATGAAAGCTGACCTTGGACAAGAAGATATTCAGTCTCCATTCACCTGTTGATTCCTCCTGCCTTGTGGCATTTGTGAATCCCTTAAACTCAAAAGAAACCCCCAAGTGAACAGCCCATGTGTCCATCAGTTGAATAGACTGGGCCATCCACACAGTGACTTTGGAAGCTACTTAACAAAGTATGTGGACACTGTCGGAGCTGATCTGAAAACATCTCCAGGAATAGTTAAATGAACAAAACAAGACTCAGAGCAATGTGTGCGGAATGCTTCCTGGTGAAAAAAGCAGGGCAGGGGTGATGAAATGCTGATTTGAGTGTGCTGTTGTTTGCATAAAGAACACTGGAAAATTACATCAGGAAATAATGAAGGTGGTTGGGGGTAGAGAGCAGGGTGGACAGGGACATGAGTGATTTTTTTCCCTCAGTTTATACCTTTTCATGTCATTTTTAGTTTAAAAAAAACTTGAAGATTTGAAATAATTATAGATTCGCAAAATGTTACAAAAGCAGTACAGAGAACTTGAATACCCTTAACCCAGTTTTCCACAATGGCCGCATTTTGCATAACCATAGTGTGATACTGTATCCGGGACATTGACAGTCTCCTGAGCGTATTTAGACTTCACCAGTTTTACAAGCACTCCCGTCTGTGTGGTTTTGTCATGTGTTACATTCATGTGGCCACCATTACCATCAACTACAGAACTGTTTCATCATCAGGCATCCCGAGGGCTTTCCCCCCTTATAGTCACAATGCAATCCCTCCCCACTCATCCCCATCCCCTGACAACCATGGAACTGTGTGCTGTCTCCCTAATTTTGTCATTTTGAGACTGTTACATAAATGGAATCATACAGTGTGTGACCTTTGAGACTGGCTTTTTTCTCATCATAATTCCCTTGAGAGCCACCCAAGTTGTTGCATGTGTCAACGGCTCCTTCTCTTTTAATTGCTGAGTGGTTTTCCACAGTATGGATGTACCTGATTAACCGCTCGCTACCGAGGGACATTTGGGTTTCTGACACTAGGCTATTACAAACAAAGCTACTGTGAGCTTTTGTGTACACGGTTTTGTGTGGACTTTGAAGTTTTTGTTTCTTGAGGATGAGTGCTCCCAGAGTACAGTCGTAGGGTCACATGGTAAGTATGTTTAGTTTTTTAAGAAACTGACAAAATTTTTTTCCCAGAGTGGCATTTTGTTTTTCGAACATATGAGTATTAAAAAAACAAAAACCACGGATGTTAATGTTAAATCCGACCGTGTCCTTCAAATCAGGGCCCCAGTGGTACTTCTCTGATCTGACCTACAGTTTTCCTGGGTGTGAGTGACGTCAGTGTTAAATCCCGAATCTCTCTCCTCCTAGGTGTGGTACAGATAGTGGAGGTGATACTGAATGGGATGGTTCTCATGTGTATCGTGGCCTCCTACTTTGTCCTTGCTGGATTCAGTGCCAGCTTCACCAGTGGCGGCGGCTTTGGGAACAACTATTACTCACCCTTTGAGGGCACCGAGCTGGAGCAGGTTCGGCAGCTGGACCAGCAGTACACAGTCCTCCGGGCACCCCTGATATATGGCGGTGTGGCTGTTTCTCTGGGGCTGGGTGTCCTTACTATGGGCGTTTTACTCCAAGGAGCCAAAAGTCTAACCAAACTGTCGGCGAAGTGGCTCCTGCTGGAGGCCGCCTTCAGCCTCCTGGCGGCAGTGAGCTACAGCGTAGGCATTGGCACTTACCTCCACGTAGCCTTGCGGATCAATGCCACAGACACTTGCGGAGCCAGAGCGCAGCTCTATGCCCGCAAGGGTCTCACCTGGATGAACTGCCAGCTGGCAGGCACTGATGGAGCAGCAGCCACCTTTGCTTGTCTTCTGGTGGTTACGTACGGTGCCAGCGTAGTGCTGGCCCTGCGGAGCTACCGGGAACAGAAGCACTACAAAGACAGCCAAGCACAGAACAGAAATTACAATGACGCGCCTGAATACCTGTGGTCAGGAACGCTCTGAGACTTCTTCTGGAACCTAAATGGCAACCCACCTCCCTTGTTTCTCTCAAAAAGATGTGTCCCTTAAAGTGGCACATTACACAACTATGGTCTTCACATACTTGATTTTACAAATGTTCCCTCTGGTACCAGTGCAAAGCTAGATGATCATTTCATTTTTTTAATCAGTAAGTCTTTGTTGGCTGAGAGCTTGAAAAAGATGTCTCCACCTTTGCAACAAAGAGCAACATTGTAAGTCTGGGGATGCCTTTATGGTGTGGCTCTCTTACCAGATGGTAAGGTAATCATGATAATAGCTACACAGCCAGAAAAATTCTGAGAGATGAGAATTACACATCCGGGGTAGCAGGTCCAGTGTTACAGTAGAAATATCTTCCTGTCATAACTACTTAAGGTCACCAAAAGAGACGTGCCATTGCCCCCCGTATTTGGTCCCAGGGGAATGATTTTAAAGCAGTTGGATGATTGAGTTCTAAATGAGTAATTACATTCTGACTCTCTTAGAAGGAAGCCACTCTGTTGGTACAGCAGTGTGCCCTGACTGCCTGGGTCCAACGGAGCGTTCCTCCCTTACAGATGAGAGCCAGGATTCCTGATGCATGAAGGGAGACGCTTTGAGAATGAATGTTCCCCCTCAGGATTCCTGCATTAGGGCTGAGAAAAAAGGGTTTTTCTGCCAGCGTCCAAGTTACTTTTTTGTTGCAAGCCATTCAATTGGATTTCACTTTCCTAAAATATCTTATAATTTTCTTAAATATGAGGCTTCCAGATAGAAACAAAATTCATAAACTTCTTAAATGTGTTATTCAACTGGTATCAAAAATAAAATGTAGTGAATTTTATCAGACTAGAAAGGCTTACTGGAGGCTTCTTCATTTCTCCATTCCCTGACAGTCCCCTCTAGAGGAGCCCTTCAAAGGTAGATTGTAATCACTCAGGACCCTGGATTGTTTTCAGAATGTAATAGATCATTAACACTGACTATTAAAAATAAAGTTTTTCACTTATTTTAATCTAAAGTTTTATAGCTGTTCTTATACTTTACTAGTCTCAGATTTTCAGTTGTTAAATGCACCTAGAAATACATGCATTCTTATGACAGTTTTTTTTCCCTAATTGCTCTCTTGCTTTTCAATAGCTAATTGTTTTTTTCTGTAATATCAGTTTTACTTTCGTATTATAAATGAGGTTAAACTATTAATAAGTTCAAATTCTTAGTACATTTCTAGGAACAATCTATTTCCACAATGCAATTTTGACATAAATCTCAGATTCTCTAATTTACAGTTAGTAAGAAATCAGCAAACATAAGCCTCTTTCAACAGATGTGAAAATGGCAATGAAAGAAAACTAAGTCAATGTCATTTTCCCCCTCCTTACCCCCGCAACTGCTCTCCTCCCTGGAACATATTACCTTTCCTCTCCTGTCCTTTCAACAGCTATTTTTGATAGAACCTATTGAAGGTGAAGAATCAAAACAAAACCTCATACAGAAATGAGAAAATATCTAATTATACTTCTACAAAAAGTAAAGCTTGGAGGAAAATAATCAACTGAAAATCTGCATTACTAGGTTAACATAAAAACACTGTGCCGCAGAAAGCTGCTTCTTCCACTGTCACCCTTGGCCTCAAGGCGGTGGCCAGAGTCCCACAGCTTTTAACTGAGTGGTACACAGGAAATTTAACAGCAGCAAAAATCAAAGAACCCGTTCCTCACACACACCCCAGAAAAGCCTTCCTGCACTGCCCCCGGCCCCGCATTATCTCCCGAGACATGTTCCTCTTATAGCTTTCCCCATGAAATGGGGACTCTGACCCATCTAGACCCCAGCACTGTGCCCAGGGCAGCTGCAATACTGCTCCCGAGATTCCCCTCCTGAGGGATCGGAGTCCATCTGTCCCTGTAAATCACAACCTTCCACGTGTGGAGTTTCATAATGTCCAAAGGCTTTAGCAAACCTCATCTTATTTTCTACTACTTGTCTGATAGGCAAATCAGGACTTACTGTTCACTTGCTACAGGTGAGATGAAGGTTCGAGGTTAAGTGGCTTACCTAACAGCTGACCTTTTGATGAGTGCTCACAATATACCAGGCCCAGTACTGGGCTAAGGCGGCATTTGTTCACACGATCTCATTCAAGCTCACAACTAACTGATGGGAGAGATGGTGGTATTTCCATTTAACAACTGAGGAAAACGGAGTCTTGGAAAGGCTATTTAACTTGCCTCAAGTCAAAATTTTTAAGTAGTAGACACAAAACTAACCCAATATGTTCAGAACGTATTATGAGAGACTAAGGTACTCTTGTGGCCTTTGGGGTAGCAGCGAATTAATATCACACAAAGCAGAGAAGGAAGATTTGACTTCTGCCACCCCGAAATAGGGAGCTGTGTGTCTCAAGAAACTCAGGCATTAAAGCATATACAGATGGTGCCCTTGGGCCCAGCACATTGAAGGTGTTCAATGAACAGGTAATGAGCCCAGGTTTTAAAGTATTCATTCGGCTAGATAAGGAGGAAACCTGCAAAATGATTTCAATTTGGCTGTTATTTGGAAAGGAACCTCATCTTGCCTGGAAGTCCAGATTATGGGAGACGAGCAGCGGGGGGAAGGTGGGAGGACAATTTAGAGGTTTAACTGGATTGTAAGTATTTTGTGAGTCAAAACCACCACTATGTCTGAAGTTCTGACACCGAAACCATTACATTAGGACAAACACGTCAGACAGCTGGATTATCCAACTGGCTCTTCTGTGTTATCATCAGCTGTACGATTTAAGAACTGTAAATTACTTACAATTGAGTTACCTCTAGTCAGCTAACAATCTGCATGTGAACAAGGACTGTTTCCTGTCTTTGGGATTTCTTTAAACATATAAATCAAGTCAGAATAGGTTTCTTAATGTAAAAAACCTTTATTGCTATTTCAGCTTAAGAGGTGACCAAAAATATTCTTGCCTTAACTCACAGCTTCATACAGTGCCATGGAATGTGGTTTCATCTGTTATCTTCCTCTAAAGCAAAAAAAAAAAAAAAAGCAAAAAAAATTGTTTAAGAAACTAATTCTACATACAAGTTAGAGAAAATTACAGTTTCATGCCAAAATAAAATATTTATAAAACAATAGGTATTCCATTTTAAAACGAAGCCATGAAAAAGATACTCCATTTTATTTTATTTATTATTGTTATTGTTATTTTTTACAAACAATAGATTTGCTGCAACATGCTCTGGCTCATATTATTGAATTAAAAAATTTAACACATTTCAAAAATATCAAAAATACACTATCATGAGTCTTAGGACTACAATACAACAATGATTGCACAAAACCATAAGATATGAACTCACTGTCCGGATGACATCAACTGGCAACAGTGAGAGAAAACCCTATAGCATCTGGGAGAAGTGCATGAAATTTAGAATACAAGGAGCTTATGTGTGATTGAATGATCATCAAATGAAGGAAACAGCAGGATTTACTGTAGCTGCTTTTCTCAATCTAGGAAGTGCTTACCCAACTATGGGGCAAAAGTCACTAACTGGAGAGAAAGATTAACTTGCCTCCGTGGTTGGGGGAGTCTGAAAAGACCCCACCCAGAGGGAAGTAAAAAGTGATGCAACACAGTTCTATAGTGATGCTGCAGACATCACTGAATGGCTTGGAGACTAATTATTTAATAATTGGTACATTTATCGATAACAGCCAAATGCTCCCTTATGGAGGTCTCTTCATTAATAATTATTGAGTAGATAGAGAAGGTGAGCCTGTGGCTTGCAAGTACCTGCTTTTGCTGAAGGTCTACAGGGAAAGAAGAGCATCGTTTGATATTCAGTAGACAAACCAAACCTAACTGGCTCCATCTCCCGGAAAATAGCACTCGCTACAAACAACTATATTAGCACCCAGTGATTACCAAGCTGCTTGTGTTGGCTCTTCTATACACCAAGGAAATGAATTCATCAACTTATTGCACACATACACTCTACAGTAGTATTATAATAAAGCCCTCGCTTGTATCAGGAGTGCCAATTCAATGACTCTATGGCAGACTCTTTATGACACACTAGCATTCAGATTTTCAAATATATTTCCAATCCATTTGGATAAAAAGAATACGGTGGCTGCCAAGACTCATGTGTTTTTCCTTCTTCCATGGGACTCCTGAACTGCTCCAGAAGCAGGAGTGATACCCTTTCACAACTTCTCTTAAAGTTCTCTATTAAATGGGAGATACACACAGAGACCTGAGAATCATGCAGAGGCCCGAATCTCTGGGCTAGAGATCAACCGTACTCTGCCCACCTGGAGAACACATCCTCTGGGTAAAGTCCTGGGAAGTAGATTACATTCACCTGGAGACAGATTACTGGATTTTACCACCTGACAACCTAATCAACTCACACGACTGTAAATGACCTCATAGGTCAAAAGTTCTGTATATTTTTGGTAACAGGCGATGGCCTTTTTACCCTCTATTTTAATACAGAGCAATTATAGAGGGAAATGAATGAAAGGCAGTTACAGGAAAGAGTAGTTTGGTACAGCCTATATTAAAGGTTTTCAATGCAACCTAATGTTTCCTGAAAATAAACCTACCACATAAAAGAACATTTGGAATTTTACAGTTCTTCTGATGAAAAAACAAATGCATTTACTTTTGGTGAAATCACTTCAGAATGGGGTGTTCCCGATAAGTAGGGTGGGAAACAAAGACAAGAAAAGGGTTCACAGAGATAAAGGACTATTTTTAAGAAACTATACTAAGAAAGTGGTATATTCCCAAAGTAACTTTCTTTTTTAGACAGCATCACTATTCTGTAACTCAAAAGTTGTGCTGTCTGGGTAAGAAGATGTTTTACATCACCCATCACTATTATCTTGAGCTTTTTCTTCATTTTCGTTTCTCCTTCATTTCCCCCCCCATTTTCCCATATAAAAATAGGGCAGCAACACACTCTGTTCCCTTTTCCAGCGGCACCTCAACTTTATAGGAACCATTATATGCCCCACTTCAAATCAAGACCTGAGATCTAAAACTTTTTAGTAGCTGACCAGTAGTTTGATACACATTTTCCTGGCAATGTGGGGACTCAAACTCAGATTTTTGAGGGGTTGAACTCTAGACAGCTACTTGGAGTGGTATGGAGTCCCCCAAAAATGTACCCCACTGATGCACACACAGCTCTGGGGCCTTGGAGAAGATGAGGATACATAACCATTTGTGGAAAGATCTGGTTTTCTACTATTGCTTTAACAAAAACTTCCAAAACACCCCAAAAGATATAGACACATCTATATATATATCTCAAATCTATCTTTAACATTTTGTTTCTCATAAAGCAAATTAATGGTCCCACACTATTTTTTAATTGTGAAAGTATTCTAAAAAATTCAAAGCACATTCCCCATTGGGTAAAATCAAGCAATGTCAAAATTTTGTAGGAGTAAGTAGGAATTACTTTTCCTAAGTAAATCTTCTAGTGGAAAAGGCAACAGAACAGAAATAGGAAAGGAACTACATTTTGCTAAGGTTATGTGGAATGTGCAAAAAAAACCAGTAAACCAGGTTTTCTGTAAGCTTAGGATTTTCTCAATTAAGTCTTTCTTATATTAGTAATTGAGCCCAGTACTCTGAAACCATGTGAGGTGGATAAGCAGCGTTCAGAAGAGTACTCTGTTAAACGTTAAAGAGGTGAACTCAACTCATTTCCGACACTTTAGAAAACTGTCCCTCTAGATTAAGAGAAGGGGCGTGTCTAACCCATGAGCTCCATCCATCCATCTGTTCACATTCAGCCTCAGTCTGTGCAGAGTCCCCTGCTACACGCAAGGTTACTTGGACGCCAACAGCATCAGCCTTGGCCCAACATATGAAAAGGCTGGTGGCCAACTCCATCACGTGTTGTGGGAAGAGGCCAATCCCCAAATACTTCTCTGGAGATCTGCTGGGCGATTCCTCGCAGGAGCCACATTTGTCAAGGAGTTATTCTCTTTTTTCTGATTTGGGGGGGA